ATCAGCCGACCTCAGAATTTGCCTTTCTCCGAAGCCAAGGAGATTTGGGGATCTGTTGGCCTGATCCTAACAGACCCGTTTCGAGGCCGTGTTCTTGTTATTGCCCCCTCTCCGCATCCAGGTATCTAAACCTGCCTATAGGGAACGGATGTATGCAATACAAGAGATCAGACGTGTGCATTGCAGGGTGAAGCAAAGCCTGGTTTTCCTCCACACAGTGCACATCACCGCTTAAAATCTTAACTGTATCAGCTCAGCGGCACAGGTCTAATTTAGGAGAGGATACAAGTCTTAAGAGCAGGTAAGAAAAACAGGCTCGACCTAGCTGGAAGCGCAATGGCTGTGCCTTGCCAGAGAAGAAAACTGCACCCGTCACTGCTGGAGTTTCACAGCCTGTTTCACACGACAAACACAATCCAAGGGGAAGAGCGAGGAGGAAGAACCCGGCTGCAGTCGGAAGTGCTCCCGTTCCCCAGGGAAGCACGACATAGCCAAGCGGCCGAATCAGACAGGATCCAGAGGTCACCCGTTTCTCCCTCCAGCAGCGGGACGGTGCCAGAGGACCCATTCTACCCAGGAGGGCAGCCAAGCACTTGGGACAAGTCGACCTCTCCCAGCCAGGGACAAAGGCGCTAAAGACAGCGCGGAGCCCAGACTTTCCACGGAAACGGAGCAGCGGGAACAGAAGCCTCTCTGCCCTGCACGCTGCTTGCGGCAGAGGACTCCCTGTCTGAGCGGCTCCAGACAATGAAGTCCCTGTTTTCCGTGCGGTCGGAAGAGCGGAGGAGCCGAAACAAGTCACATCCCTTTTGTGCAGAGCATTAGGTCTGTTTACAGCCTTCGCGCCCAGGGAACTCAGGAACCCGGCACCAAAGCCAGGACACGGTTCCTCCAGCAGCGCTTCCCATTGTCGCCCACGAGGAATCTCAAACTAACTGGTCACTTAAGACCAGCTAGTCACTTAAGACCACGCACTACTACCAAGCTGGAGAACTCAAGTCAGACAGGCGGGAATCACCCCAAAAGTGACATCCTGGGCAGGCCCAGCCACCCACTGGACACTGGCGGAGGCGACAGATGGGGACACACGGGCCCCTCGTCTTGCTCCTGTGAAAAAACAGAGCAAAAATGCCCTCTTTTGAGTCAATTCGCAGCGGATTAGACCCTGAAGAGAGGGTGGAAGCGGTCTGCTAAAGCAGAGGAAAACTACTTTTAAAATAGAGCCTCTTGTGTCACCGCATCTTTGTGCCCACAGTTTTAAGCCAGGCTGCTGACAAGTCTTCTCCAACAGCAAAGTCCTTCCTGGAGTAAGCAAGCACAACTGAAATAAGAAGCTTTCGGTCTAGCTTACATGCATAGCCAAGCACTGCCACAAATATATTCTTACTAAGCAGCAAAAATATTTTCTTGTAAAACAGCTTTTACAAGCTGCAGCGAATGCTGCTTTGTGCTTGATTGCAAAACTCAGTTGAATTTTGAGTCTCGAAAAGAAAAAAAAAAAAGAAAGCAAAAAAAGAAAATGGAAAGCCTAGCAAAGACTTCATAGAATCATTTGCAAACAGCCCATTGCAGTGAAAAGAAAGATTCTGAGGCTGTGAAAACTTTTCTAATCTTTTGAAACCTACTGTAGCATTCTGCTAGCTCTGCTGGCTAAATTTACAGAACTGAAATCAATGTTTTTTACCTACCCAGAACAAAACAATGACCATACGCAGTTAGGCGAACCTAAAAGCAAGTGTGGAAGTCAGTTTAAAACTGTAGGTCACTCCTTGGTTTTATTCGAGGGCAAAACTGGGAATTCGGTTCTTTGAAGCCATATGGGCATCAAAAGCTACAGGAAAGCCGCACGCGGCACCAGCGGAAGGGCACCAAACTTCCAAGTTTTCCTCTCGCCCGCTCATGTCGCGCCACGAACGCGGGCACGGAGCTTCCTCCTCCACGGGCGCAGAGCGCGGCGCCGGCCGCAGGCACCTCTGGGACGCAGCAAGAGCCCAAGGAAAGCGAGACCCTCGCCGGATGAACGGCAGCCGCGCGGCGGGTGGGCGGACGTGCCCCAACGCCCCTCGCCAGGGCCTGGCTTCACCCTCCACGCCGCTGCGGGCGGACACTCGCTCAGCTTCCTGCTCCAAGCACATCCAGGGGCTTCCTTGGTGGGACTGGAAGCAGGGAAGCCGGAGCAGCCGCCCAGAGCCCCTCTCTTCCTCCGTCCACGTGAAGCTGCTCCGGAAAGTAGCCAGGCTGGAGGCAGCCGGGCCGTGTCCACCTGGCATCGCGCCCAGCCCGGCCCGCTCCGCACGGAGCCGTGGGCGTCCGAGGATAATCCACCGCAGGCAACGGGGGAAGGAAACATGGAGCCCCCACACCCGGAGCGGCTCCACTCGGCTCGGTGGAGTTGCCCAAGCACCGAGGCGGCCATGGCTCCGCTCATCCCGAGGGTTTGGGAGACACAAACGGTTCGGGGGAGACACAAACGGTTCGGGGGAGACACAAACGGTTCGGGGGAGACACAAACGGTTCGGGGCAGACACAAACGGTTCGGGGCAGACACAAACGGTTCGGGGGCAGCCTCGCCGTGCAGCGGGGAAGCCACCGCAGGGACGCGGGGCAGAGGAGTCTGCTCTGCCCCTGGGGAACGCGATCTCGCGCGCACCCAAGTCGGGACGGCCCCGGCGCAACCCGAGCGGCCGGGACGGGCAAAATCCCGTTAAAACTTTGCGCGCTGCTGGCGCCACGGCGGGAAGGGGCGCGCGGGAGCCGCAGCGGCGGCCCCGGCGCCCGCAGCCCTCGGCCGCCGCCGCGGGACGCGCCCAGGCCGGAGCGGCGGCG